ACCGGGTTGATTGGGCGATCATGGAAGAGGCATTTGTCCTGCAGTGGGCGTAGTTGCGCTGATGATGACGATGATGATGACATGCCAAAACCACGATATCTTTGCGAGGCACGCCGTTGTGGAGGGCTCTGGTATTTTCGGCTATGCGTTGTTCTTAAACGTGCTCTCACATATCATAGTACGCGGGGTTATGACATTGATAGAAACCGCCGCGGCTGGAATCGAACCCACGGCTTTCGGGTCGGCAGGCGTATAAGGCACGATCCACTGACCAGAGGGAACGGCGTTTCCCGCATGCTCCGTCCCAAGTTTGCGGATATTGGCCGTGAGGGGCGCGCAGATCACGGATGCCAGCACGCGTCCCCCACGTGACACGGCCTCAATCCGCCCAGCATTGCAGGAAGGGAGACGCCCGCATTGCGTTCCGTCTTGACCTACTCCGTCTCATAATTTTTTTTATCAGGTAAGCTTCGCGTTCTGCTGCTGCTGTCACAATGGGAAAGCTCGACTACACGGTGTCTACGGGGAAGAGTGTACTCACCTCTGTGACCATCGCGTCGCTGAGGATTACGATGTCCAGGAAGTCCAGTGTCGCCGACACAGTGTTGAGAAAGGCGAGAAAATTCTCAAGTGTCCATAACTCTTCAACGAAGATCAAGTAGACTCCGATGCAAAAGGAGAAGAGTAACACACCACCCGAGGTCACTATTGCGTACTGCCATATGTCGTTTAGACGTCGCTTGATGTCCGAAATGGTGCAGAGGTTGAACCTTACGTCCTCGACCAATCGCGCTCGCCTTTCCGAGCCAATAACGTCACATTCTTTCCTTCGCACGATGGACCTGAGAACCCCGTGCTGGTGCTCAATGTACAATCTGATCACTTCGCAGCAGGGCCTGAGGACCAGAAAGGACGCCGCGTCAAACACGTAATAAAGAAAGTTGCCCGCCATGCACGTAAGTTTCAACATTGCGCCCAGTGCTGGACCACGGCCGAGTCGGTCTACAAATTCCAGCGAGAGGTAACTACAGGTGCATACGTTCGCAACGAATGCTGACAACAGTAGGAAACGTATCAAGCAGCAGGTAGGTGTCATCCTGCGATGATTCCTCGGTGCAACGAACTGAACGCTTTCCTCGTACTTGGAAGATTCGCTGAAGAACCTGTGCATACTTCTCACTTTGACGGTCGCGAGAGTTGCGTTTAGCGCCACCTTGGCATTGACGACGACGTAGAGCAATACGTGGACGGTCGTGGTGAAAGGCACATCGTGCGCGAATACGGCCAGGCAGAGCTGGTAAAAGAAGCCTATCTCGACGATGGCACACACAGAGAGGCAACCGACGGAATAGATTAGGTACAACTTATTCCAGAAGCAGATCCTTCTATCAGATTCTGACGTCTCAGAACTGCGAGAGATCATGAGACCCGACGACTTGCAAATCGTTCCGTACCACTTGAAGTGACGTGTCATGAAAGACGCCATAATGACCACTTCGGTATTGTCAAAACGATAGTCTCTCTTTTTTTTCCTTTTTGAAGAGTGAGAGTGAGCAAGGGAGGCCTGTGAACCAAACCACAAGCTATTGCGGTCACACCAGTGTTCTGTAATGAATAAAACACTAGCAATTAATATTAGACAACGTTGGGACGTAATACGCTCCTCTACGGCGCATCATAATTCTACAGCGTAACATAAACGCAGCGAATCACCAGCAAACTTAGTATTAAATAACGCATAGTGCGCGAACATTCACGCAAGACGATTGTTTCAGTTACGCATTGTGGCATCTCGTTGATTCTGCTTATCACTTGAATCGTGGAGGTACAAGGAGGTTAGCCATGTTAACTGCATGAGTGCCGCACATTAATTATTCGAACAAGTTCTTTTTCAATACTCACGTGAATATGGCTACACATTCCCAATTTCTATTGAAGCTTACACTTGGTTCAACACCCATGGTAGTTTCTTTTTTCATATACGTAAATCTGTGCGTTTTTAAGGGCAGTAGCAGACGAGAAGGCACTCCGACCATTCAGCATTCTAATGAACCATACATATATATCCCTTTCAAGAACCTTGTACACCAAGTTATCACTTCATAAATGATCTAGACCCCTGCTTTCACTTAGGTCACAATATTGCATTTATAGCTACACTACACAACACATCGTATCTGAACAGTGCAAGAGACCTGACCAATGGTGCCCAGCACTTCCCCTCTCGTGAAGCACCAACTCACGCTTTGCAAAGGGCCGCTCGTACGTGGTTACCTGGTGGCTGTTGACAGTTCGAGGTACATCATCACTGACGCTCTCTCGAAGGCTTTCGCCATCGAACGATCGTGAACTGTTAGGCATAACCCCTGCCGACACTGCTTGTTAACGATGTTTGCTTGCGTTACCGTGGATACCGTACACTCGCGCCGAATTATGAATGCTTCTTACGTCGGCGCAAGCGTTTCACGCCGACGGGCGCCAGCCGTGGTCTCACAAGTACGACCTTCAGTGTTTCGCCGAGAGCGAGGTGCTGGACCTGCGAGAAGTGCATCGATTTGAATAACCACGGTGCAGTGCTCGTAATTTTTTCTTCAAAGTCGATATGCAGCGCGCAGGGTGGAGGGTGCGAAGCTTTATGGTGCGCGGTCTGCATATCTTATCACCGCAGCCGCACGCTGTAAAGAGACATGAACAAGACAGCTATACTCCGAGCGAAATTAGGGTTCACGTCCACGAAGATGAGTCAGGACACCAGTGTAGGCGTTGATTACGTCGAACACGCGAGGCACCGTTCAACGGAGGCTTTCCGTTGTATCTTCTATTTTTATTTACCAGAAGAGGAAGCAAGACGCACGCCATGCGCCCGCGTTTATGAGCTGGTGCTAACCTGGCTTTCACCATGCGCGTGCGCATGGCCTCCAAGATGGCGAACGCGCGGTGTTGGTTTTGACTATGCATGTGCGCATGGCCTCCAAGATGGCGAGTGAGGGCGGCGCTGCGCGCCCGCCATTTAGGAGGCCATGGTGTGTGCTGCGAAGGTACAAGCTGGTCGCGTAGATCGCGCTGTGCGGCGATTTCGTTTAAAATAAACAAAAAAACGTCTACTCGAGACGTAAACGGTCTAAACCCGAGTCGGAACACAGCGCGGCCTTGCTCTAGGTGGATTGTGCTTCGTGCGAAGGTTTCACGTACGACTGATGCTCAGCACAACCCGCACTGTCCGTAACGTCACGTGAGCACATCACGTGACTCGAGCAACCGTACAGTATGGAACGCCGCCATTTTGAACGCGCCAGGAAGCGAAATAAAAGAGAAGAAAAAGGTTAAAAGGACCGGGTCCTCATCGCGGGTACGAGGCTTACGTACATGCCGCAGGAATACGGCGTACACTGAAATGTCCATGCCTTATTGTCGATGGAAAGACAAGTCGATTGCACAACGAAAGACGGCACTATTATTCTCTATATTTGAAAGGTCGTTTGTACAGTTAGGGGAGGGGTGCGGGTCAGACGTTCTTAGTTTACTAGCTCGTCTATATCTATGGAAACGTGGCCTGGGAACTTTTTACCAGGATTTTACGTTTCCCGTTGATCTTTGCTAAGGCTTACCCGAGCATGCCTGACATTTTATCCACCGCAGTCTATGGGAGCACGCGCGCGCACGCGCGCACGCACGCACGCACGCACGCACACACACACACACACACACACACACAAACACACACACACACACACACGCACACTTCATGGGTAAGAAGCATCAAGTGAAGGTAAAGAATTCGTCAGACAAGGAAAGCTAAAACCAGACAGGAATAATGCTAGAGCCAAAGGTCCAAAGCACGTTGACAAGTGTGTACACTCTGGAGCTTCCACCTCACGCACCAAGCAGCAGGCCAGCCGTAAAGGCGGTGGGACCTACAAGGACAGCATGAGAGGCTGGCAGCTGCTGAGGTCACACATGGAATTGTGGGCTGACTGCGCTTGTATGTGGTCTTACGCGTTGTGGGCGGTCCGTCATGGCCAAGGCTAGCAGCTACTGCATCACGTCTCTCTCTCTCCACTTTTGCCGAAGGGGATGGCACAGTATGAGAACGGCGGCCGCGAGCCTGCCAATGACAAAAGGAAGAGGAGGACGACGATCGCGGGTGTGGTCATGGCACACGGTAGCGGCTGGCAGCAGGCAGGTGCGGCCTGGGTTCTGGTCGATAAAGAAGGTTTCTGGTCTGGCTCCGCGTCTTTCCTGGGATGTCAGGGCCGAGCAGCCTCGAAACCTTCTACAACGTGTACCACAAGCAGATGGCAGATTTGTCACTATTATGTTGCGAATTGCTGTCACCACCATGACACGTCGCGAAGTCACCTCCGCGCTATCAAAACCAAAAGTGTCTTTTTAAAGTGACGGTATTAAAAATAAACATGGCGTATTCCCATGCACCGCACTCTTTCAGAGTTCTCAAATCCGCATTCTTATACAGAGCAACAGTCCCAAAACATTTAAAATTTGTGTCAGTCCTACTTTAAGCTGCGTCAAAGGCATTATTGCCACGTAGACAGTTTGAGTACTATGCATTGCATTTTTTATAGCAGTAAACAACAAAATACATAAAACAATGTAAGTAAGGCAAAACCGACAATAAATAAACATTCTCTAAGCAGATAGAAAGCTCAAACAAAACGGAGGCAACAATTCAAATATTTCTTAATATGGGTTTTACAGCCGACCTTTACAAAACAAAGGTTGTTTTCGGCAACAATAAATGAAAAAGAATATAGTACAGCAAATAATGTACAAAAACTTTATAAATTGTACAGCACTATTTGTTGGCAATGTAAACAAACCTACGCCACAAGTTCGAGTTTGCTGGTTGCTGGCACGTGCCTTGCACTTATTCTAACTGCAATTTCCTCCTTTGTCCCTGACACTTCGTGTATGCTGGCAGTGCGGTGATGTGAGAACTGCGTACCTGCTCTCATGCGCAGCATGTGCATCACAGTTTTGAGTGGTCGCCGTGGCCAGCTGTGCTTACCTCTCTCTGGAAACTGCTTCTGCTGAGGTTGGCACTCTGAAATGAAAACAGAGAGGGGTGCTTTAAACACGTCTCTAAACAAACGAACATCGTGCACTCACACAAACAGTTTCCAGCAGTGATAAGTCGGTATTAAAATACCTACTTCAAAAAAAAGCAAGGTGATATATTTTTGTGTTAGCGCTCCTTTGAAGGACCACTCCTCAAGTTTGACAATTTTGAGCTGACGAGCGCAATGCATACATGGGCCGTTCACGATCAGTTCTGCCAAATGTGCAACAACTACGTGCGGGAAACTGGTTTAAATTTCAAGATGAACGCTGCTTGCCCTTCCTTTCATGCACGTCCACCCTGAGAATAAGGGTATGGCGTAGACTACAGAATTGCCCAGTGTAAATGGTATGCTGTGATGTCAGTCCTCTGCATAGAGGACTGATCTGATTTCGCCAACAGTAGCACGTGAGACAGCAAAATTTATTTCAAAAATGTGTAGTTTGTGTAATTTATTGCCTGAATATATGAATAAAACTTGAGATAAATAATGAGACACACACACAGGGAATGTGTGCATCTTTTTCATTTTTTTCTCGTGAATTTCAACGAGATGCGGGGCTAATGTACCTGCATTTTGAGTGTGTTCGTGTCCCCACTGTTAATGCATCGAGCAGACGCCAGCCCTGAAAATAAATTAATAGTCCTGCACATTCGAGCACTCAATATGCGAATCTATTCTAGCTGTGTCTATACCGCATCTCTAAATCCATCCCGCAGAAACAGGCACTAGAACACAAAATAATGGTGGTCAACAAAACAATGCTGCCCGCATCTTCTCAGCGGAGGGGCTTGCTTGGGGACGTCATGCACATGTGACCGTTTGCTCGGATGCCAGAGAGGATAGAGAAGAGATTTAGCTTGCAAAGGCAACGTGGGGCAAGCAGCATGGGATTGAGCTCGTCTCCTCGCCTCATCTTTTTGCACCGCTTCAAAATGCCACTTTTTTCAGCTCGTAATGAATTGATTGAAACATTTTTTGTGGCTTCAAAATGCCACTTTTTCAGCTTTCCTCAGCGGAGGGGCTTGCTTGGGACGTCATGCACATGTGACCGTTTGCTCGGATGCCAGAGAGGATAGAGAAGAGATTTAGCTGCAAAGGCAACGTGGGGCAAGCAGCATGGGATTTGAGCTGTCTCCTCGCATCATCTTTTTGCAACCGCTTCAAAATGCCACTTTTTTTCAGCTCGTAATGAATTGATTGAAACATTTTTTGTGGCATAATGTTCTTCATCAGACATCAAACAACCTGCCCGGCCCAACTAGGGGACCTGGCGAGTAACCCTTCAAATGTCCAAGTTTTTCAACAGTGCAATGTGTGAGGGAATGTGATAACGGATTCTACATTGTCATTACGTTGAAAGTCGGGCAAGTTGTTATGGCAGCATATCCTGAAAACAAGTGCAGCAGGACAGGACACATACAAAAAAAGGAATAAACAGGAGACAAAAAAGGTGCCCACAAGCTACAAGTTGTGCTTTTTTTGTCCCCTTTTTTTTGTTTGTCCCATGCTACTTCAGTCTTTTCAGAAGATTATCACCAGCTTGTCAATTTATGCATCAAATTCTGCAAGATTGACAACAAGTAGATAGCCCTTGTGCCAATTAAAATACCAGTTATCATGTTTTGTGGCATTCGAACATTGGAAGTGCTACGTGTACGAAACATTCACACATCTGTACGAACAGGAATCTCGCCGTGAAAATGTCGAGGAATCTGTCATTGCAGTATGCAATCCTAAAATTCTGATGTAACTTTTAATGACGGTAATAGTACTATTATGCATAAAGGTGCACCTTTGATTGGCTGTGGCACATTCGCTGGTGGGCAGGCGTTGTAGAAACCTTGAATTCGTTTCTCAATTTGCGTCGATACATGGTGTATCTTGGGGACTATATTAGCCTCTGTTGATTTGGACACGGTTTTCTCACACGATGTGTACTGGTTGCGCTGCAAAGAACGGTTATATTGAGCGACTTCTGTTGGTCAAGCCGATGATGCAACCTAGTGGCAGGAAAAGCAGAATGTGATATAAGGCATCCAACAATGTCATTAACTGCAAAAGCCGATTTCACTACATTAAACTGGGAATTAGTATGCCTGAAGATTGCGCTTTAAATGTAAGTGGGAATGAGCGTCTACAAGGCAACCGAGAAAATACTGGATACTAGACAAAAAACGCTAGACACCAAAATAAATTCAAGAGAGATAACTTCGTTGGAGTTCAATGTCCCAAAATAATATGACCACGAGAGATGTCACAGTGAAGGGCTTGACAAATTTTGACCACCTAGGGACATAAATCATGCATTTAAACCCGAGTACATGGGCCTATGTCATTCTCGCCTTCATAAAAAATTTCCACAGAGATTTGATTCTGTGACCTCAGCAGTGGGACACCACAGGGAACATTTCTTGCTTTTATCTGTCTGGTAACAATTATGACAGATTAAAATGACTTATAGTGGGTACAAATCCACAACTTTCGAATTGGAAGGCTGCGCTTTCGCGACGTCTGCGCTTGCCATGGACGAAAGCTTTCCATCTTAAGGACTTTCTCTCCTCACCTCGGATTTTCCGGCATGAAACCTTGTGCAGCGGTGCGAGCACTTAATTTTGTAAAAGCCGCAGCCACAACTAGGTTCTTAAGGAGGCTATGCGGCAGAAAGAGGGGTCAAAAGATGAAAGTACCACAAAGTACCTTACACTTGTTTATGTACCCACGTACTTCAAAATGCAAGGCTGCGAAATAACAAAAAAATTGGCGCCTTCATCTTTCTACAGGGGGGGGGGGGGGGGGCTTGAGTAAATCGGTCGCTAAGTGGAGGGGATTGATTGATTAGTGGGGTTTAACGTCCCAAAACCACCATATGATTATGAGAGACGCCGTAGTGGAGGGCTCCGGAAATTTTGACCACCTGGGGTTCTTTAACGTGCACCCAAATCTGAGCACACGGGCCTCGACATTTCCGCCTCCATCGGAAATGCAGCCGCCGAAGCCGGGATTTGAACCCGCGACCTGCGGGTCAGCAGCCGAGTACCTTAGCCACTAGACCACCGCGGCGGGGCAAGTGGAGGGGATATGGCATGAATGTTGCGTCTAATCGAGTCAAGGAAAGCGTTAAGTCAATCGACAGACAAGCAAAGACGCCCTTCACTGAATCCCGAACGCGCGCTCTGTGGCTTATATACACACCGCCCGCATTCGAGGAAGACGAGACGAGCCGAGCATGAGCACTGGGGGTGCAGACAACGCAGACGCCAAAGTGCAACATCGTAAGACTAAGAAATCCTCCGCATTTAAAAAGCTCGCTCTAGCCGTCTGAAGCTTAAAAAACGGCAAAGCTGGTCAACAACCCACAGCACTTGCCAGCATTTCATGTGTTTTGCATCGCATCGAACCAAGCTTAGCGTGATAGATTACAGTTAAAGGGACCGACTATGCATTTTTTTCAACAAAGTGTTTCCCGGCTTGCCTTTTGTAGTGTTCGTTGTGGCAGCAGTTAATCCCAAAAGCATGTAGTTGTTTATAAGCAGCATTTTTCGATCTGAAAGGCTCTGAATACTGATTTTCCTTTTTGTCCAGTGAGCATCCATAGTGATGGCGGTAGCCCTTCTCGTGACTTGTGCATGATGTCGTGCTTTCGCAGCAGTTCCCATAACTACACTTAGCCACATTTATTCTGAGCTTTACAACTATTTTTTAAAATAACATGCAGTTACAATGAGATTATGTGGCTTTATACAACTTCCCTGTATTTGTACTGCATTGCACGTGCCTGTGTCGTGGATGGCTTGTCCCAGTCATCATTACTCTCTCAACACAGAAGCCAAGCCAAGTCACCAAATATGTCACTGCACATAGCGCGGCTGTGCCGAGCAGAGGCACACGTTATTTCTGAGACAAAATGTAGGTATAAGAACCACGTCACCCCAAAATCTTAGTGACCTGTATACTGCATGCATGGTTTCATCGCAGAAATGTTGCTCAAGAAGCGCTGACGAGCATGGGATGATTACGTCATGCAAAGGCAACGCCACTTCAACACGTACTACTAACGCAGGCTTATATGTACATTTTTATGAAGTAATATCTTTTACTGTGAAGAAGCAAACAATCTTTCAATACCAGCAATAAAATATTGACCATGTATACTAGTCTACGATCACGTGATAGGGTACATCAAATAATAGTTTACGACTCCAGGTGACGGCACAGGCCATTTGTCACAATTTTCAATGAATTAATATCTAACTCCACTTCTCACGAGAAAAACAAGGTTGCTCTGAGTCACTATGAGAAACAATCTTTCCATTCGTGCAGTCATCTCGTTTCATGTTTTGGACAGTTGTCGGTTCCTTTAAAAAATTGCCAGGTCTGCACTGAATGAGCAGCCGAGTTGCAGCGAAAGCTAGAAGAGTGGCTTTTCAGAGCCTTTTCTAAACACTCTTTGGGTAACTGCTGCGAGTACGCTTGCTGGGTACCCACTAGGCCAAAATCATGTTTGTGTAGATGGCCAGCATTCTCTATGCTATCTTTCGTCATTCTTCAAAGAATTGTAGTATCTGCTACTCACTTGCTAGAAATCTTTTGTAATTTTTTAATTCAGTGGCTGACGACAACAAAAAATTATGCCTGAAGGGGGTATGCACCACAGTTATAGATGATCAAAAACAAGTTTTCTAATGGGTTGGAACTCGCTCGTTACCCACTTTGCATGGAGCAGTGCCTGGTTGTTTTTTTAATGTTTTAAAACACTTAATTACTCATATTATTGTGATTACTTCCCGACATCAAGCCTACCTAAGGCCAGTTTAGAAATGAGTTCTAAGCACTGGCGTGGCTCAGTGGTAGTATACTAGGCTGGCATGCAGCGGACCCGGGTTCAAATCCTATTGTGTCCTTCCTGTCTTTTATCTAGTTTTTTTTTCTTCTTGCTTCTTGCGATACTGGTTACGGACAATAGCAGCAGAGAACTACGGCGCCGCACGTTACCGGTGTTTTGATCTCAACAGCCTTTGCTGTAAAACTACAGCCTGTCATGAGTACGGATCCAGAGGGAGGGTGATCGCTCCCCCCACCCCCAAAACCTGTGTCAGCACCAGTCTCCCCCCCCCCCTTTAAGAGTGCTTGTCCACCTCTTACACCAGTTATAATAAACGAGTGGGACCATTTTGAGCACACATAACTCTTATTTATGCTTGACGGCTTCTTCCTGCTACTAAAAACAAAATTGTCAGGACCCCCACCCCCCTCCGGAGTTACTTCAGGCCGCTGCCCCCCCCCCCCCCCCATAAAATCCTCCTCTGCCTGCAACAGACCTAGGTCAAACGCCAAAGCCAGAATTGCGAGCACACCTGGATGTGGCCCCTCAGGGTAGAAGGGCGGGCCTTTCGTCACATAATTGTGCTCGGCTCGACTCTCACCTGGCACACTTTGCTTGGCTTGCTTCCTCGCCGCGCTCGCTTCGCGTTCCCGTCGAGCATAGTCGGGATCCGATCACCGTTTACGGTTACTTTCTCGGACCGCAGCGCGCCTAGCTTCGAGGTAAACGGCCTCCTCTTCGGCTGTGCGATCTTTGCACGACCGACCCGTTGCTTCCGAATGTCTGAACCGTAGCCAGGTGGTGTTGCCTGAACACGGCCGCGCAAGCGCTGGCGCGCCCCTACAGAGAACATCTGGAGCTAGACGTAGACATACATGGTTGCTAAGCGACAACTATGCCGACGTCACACCAGCTTCGCAGCATGGATAGGGTGGCTAGCATGAAAAGGTCTATTTGGCATGGAGGACAACTTTGCTGATAAACTACGGTGCGGATATCGCTGTAGTTGCTGCACTCTGCCCGAACTCGATCTTGTTGGAGCATGGAGCACACCGGTGACACGTGACGGTGCTGTTTGTCGTTGATGCTACTGCGGCCTTGGTCAGGTTGTTGTACAACCACAGTGGGTCGCATACCTTGCAGATGTGCCCGAAGCTCCTATCCAGGAACTCGCGCTTGAACTGCGCTGCCTTCGCCGCCGACTCGCATTGCCGCGCCGCTTCGAGATTCGCTGCTCGTTGTTTACGTTTCGCTTCGGCTTCGCGTTGCCGCTACGAGATCTGCTACTCGACGTTGACGCTTCAATTCGGCTTCCCGAGCTAGGAGAACGGGGTCCGCTAGCCGCCGTTGACGTTTCCTTTCGGCTTCGCGAGCCCGAAGTTCGGGATCGGCACGCCGCCGCTCCCGTTTCGCAGCCCGAGCCTTCTTCTCCGCGGACACTGCTGGCATTCATCGCGGCGTTGCGCAGGGGAGGTGCGCGCGCTCTGCCATTTTACACCGTTATACACCACCCAACTACCGTCCCCAGCGGAGTGTGCAGCTGTCTCACCACCTGTCATGCGCAGAGGGGAGGGGACCTAGAGGGAAGGGGACCCCACGGGAGGGATGTACAAAGCCCCCACCTAAATCTGCGGCAGCTTGGGCTTGTTGGTATGGCATGACGATATTTATAGCGCAAGAACAGAACGACGACACAGAGACAAGTGTCTTTCGTGTCCTTCTTGTCTCTGTGTCGTTTTGTTCTCGCGCTATACCTATCGCCCCACCTAAAGCTACTTGGCATCTAAATAGGCGCTGCGCAGTGCTCCCTACCGGTTGCCCTTCTAACCACCACCATCTAAAAAGTTCTTCCTTCAACTCACGTGCAACCTTGGATGTGGAACTCCGGCAGCAAGGCGGGCCTTCCATCGCTGATACTCCGTTAGACCGATCAATTGTCGCTGATTTCGCTTCCATTCCGCGTCTTTCTCGCGCCTTCGCCTAGCATACTCCGGGTCCTTCCATCGTTGTCGCTTCTTGATTCTTTCACTGGCCATGTAAACGGGATCTAATCGTCGTAGACGACAACGCTCATGATCCGCTGCACGCCGAGCCTCGCGGTAAGCGGCTTCTTCTTCGGCCGTGCGCTTCTTCCTCGGTTTACCCATGGCAAGCGTTGTAGGCAAACACGGCTCGCTCGGCGCCAGGTGTTCCGTGGCCAGGCCAGGCTCCGCGACTAATCCACACAACACCTACCACTTATCTCCGTCACGGACAGCAGGAAAAAAATCACTACTGCATGACAACAGCTTCGGCGCTGCCTTGCTTTTCGTGGCTCGAGGTAGTTGCTGTATAATGCTTTCAAGGTAGCACATACAGTACCTCTAGCTCGAGCGGGCGCGCTGCGCACTCTTTACATGTGCCCCCAGAACACCTGCCACAGAACACCTGCTGCCTGCCTCTATGGTGGCTAGAAGGAAAGGTGCCACTGAGCCAGCACCATCCCAGCCGCGCCTTGAAAGGAGGCGTGCTGATATTTCATTCAGCCGTGGTGGTCGTGGTGAAAACATTTAATAACCATTAAATGGTTACAGAGAGGTGATTGGGTTGGGGCCTTATTGGCCTCCTACCCTCACAGCACTAGGTGGAACCCCTCTTCCGGGGCTCCATTGGCAAGCAATGCCGCCCGCGCCCGTTGAACCAGAGCCTCTTTGGCCTTCAGGTCTTGACAGCCGAGCAGGGCCGCCTCCCAGTCCTCTCTCGTGGGATTGGGGTTGGGGAGGATAGATGGATTAGACTGGCACGCCCAGACGATGTGAAAGGTGTCAGCCACCTCACCACAGAACTGGCACGTGCCATCAAAGGATGAATTCAAATGTTTTAGCACCGCCGGGCACAGTACAGTATTGGTAAACAGTTTTAAAAGGAGGCGCTCGTCAGCGCGATGCAGTCCCTTACAAGGGTCTGGATAGCGCCGGTGCTCCTCCTTGTAGTAATTGGTAATATCTTTGAATGAAAGGGCCGAATTGTCTGATTGCGAGTAGGCTTCCAAAGACAGGGAGATAGCCCGGGAAGAGAGTGCGCGTGCGGCCTGATCGGCCTGTTCGTTACCCCTGAGTCCTTGGTGACCGGGTGCCCAAACCAGATTTCGCGGAGTTGGAATAACGTATCGGCAGCTAGGTTCCAGTATGCGCTGAGCAAGCGGTGAAACCCACCCTAGCTGATAGTTCCGACAGGCCCCTCGTGAGTCGGTGATGATATGTTTAGAAGAGGGATAGGTGAGAGCCAGAGCGATGGCAATCTCCTCCGCGTGTGTTGCGCTGTAGGCTTTGAAAGTGAGCCCGTTTACGGTGTTTGCGTTGTGTATGACTGCGGCAGTATACCACCCCCCATGGTGCGGGCCGGCAACGTCCACGTAGCACACGTGTTCCTCTTGACCAAAGTGTCGCTGCAACGCTTCCGCGCGCGCCTGGCGGCGACCACTGTGGTTTTCTTTGGACATGTTGCGTGGAAGGGGTCGGACCCGGAGGGCGCGTCTCCAAGGTTCTGGCACTCTCACCCTTTCCTCAATATAGTAATCGTGTTTGATGTGTATTCGGTCCAAGAGACGGCGACAGGAATGGGTCTGTGCAAGGCGCGTGTATTGGTTAACGAGGTGGGCTTCTCGAAGTTCCCGGTAGGTATTCACCACGCCTAGGGCCAGAAGTCTCTGGTTGGACGTGGTGATAGGGAGGTCGAGAGCCCGCTTGATAACTTTACGGTGGATGACCTCGAGTTGATCATCCTCGTATTTGCGTAGGTGCAAGTAGGGAGTCGAGTAGAGTATTCTACTTGTTACGAAAGCATGGGCAAGCCGCATTGCATCCCTGCTTCGTAATCCGCCCCGCTTGTTGGAGACCCGGCGGACCATACGGCCCACCTGGTCTCCCACCGTGCGAAGTTTGGCTATTGTGGTGTCGGCCTTGCGTTGGTGGTGTATGAAGAGGCCAAGGACGCGGATCTCCGTGGCCTCACGGATTGGTCCCGAGGGAAGACTGATATGGAGCTGAGTTGTGTCCTGAGGGGAGGGACGTACGTGCACAAATTCTGACTTAGCCGGGGCACACTGGAGTCCGCAGTAGGTTGTGTAGTCGTCGACTACAGTCGCTGCTGCTTGCAGGCATGACTCCATGTGACCCAGGTTACCTTGCGTGGCCCAGATCGTGATATCATACGCGTAAAGAGCGTGATGTATCCCTGGTAAAGAAGCCAATTTGGGGGGAAGATGAAGCATGGCTATATTAAATAGAAGGGGAGAGAGGACCGCGCCTTGAGGAGTTCCCCTCGAGCCGATGACGTAAGGTCCATGTTCCTCATCTTGTATGCGTATGTAGGCTTGACGGTCTGTAAGAAACTGTCTAACATAATTGAATGCTTTATAACCACAGTTGGTCTGACTGAGGTGGTCAAGGATTACCTCATGCTTCACGTTGTCGAATGCCCCTTTAAGATCCAAGGCCAGGACTGCCTTGTCATTGTGGGGGCATTCAACAGGATCTAATATGTCATGGTGGAGCTGTAGAAGTATATCCTGGGCTGACTTCTGAGGGCGGAATCAAACATGGTGTCCGCAAAAGTGTGCTGTGTTTCTAGAAACTCGGAGAGTCTGTCGCGCACCATCGTTTCCATCAGCTTGCCGACACAAGACGTGAGGGAGAGGGGGCAAAGGTTCTCCACGTCAATAGGTTTACCTGCCTTCGGGATGAAGGTCACGAGAGCTGATTTCCATTCAAGAGGGAGAGGAGTTTCTCCGTCCCAAATGCTATTGATGTATTTGAGGAGCGTGGTGAAGGCTGCGTCGGGAAGATTGGCCAACAGTTTGACCGTAACCTGGTCACGCCCTGGTGCAGTGCCACGCTGCATCTTGCGTAAGGCCGCCTGGAGGTCGTGGAGCTGGAACGGGGTGTCCAACTGCGTGTTCTTTTTGCCTGCGTAGGAGTATGCGGCCGTCCGGGGGTCCTTGGTGGTGCACAGGTATCGGTCCCTGAGCGTGTTTGCCAGATGTGTTGTCGTTCCTGTAAAGTTGTGCATGACCTTATGTAAGTGACGTTGAGTTTCCGTGCGTGTTTGTGTTGGATCGATGAGAGCGCGAAACAGGCGCCACGTGTTGCGACCAGACATCTGGCGTGCAGCCGTGTTGCACCTGTCCACCCAGTTAGTGTCGGCTAGCTGAGCAGCATATTCCGCAGCTTGCTCCGTGAGTTCTAGGATGCGTTTCTTGAGGCATCTGTTATGTTTCTGTTTTTTCCATCGTTTGGTGAGGCTGCAGCGGGCCTGCCAAAGATGGAGGAGGTGGTTGTCCACGTCCGTTTGAGTTTCCGTGAGCTGTATCAGCTGTTCGTGTTGTTTCAGTGTAGACGTCAGTGATTTAGACCAGGTGTCGTATCCCGACTGGAGAGGGTCTACAATAGGTAGAGTGGCGCGGAAAGTTGTCCAGTCTGGGATACGAGCTTGTGTAAGTGGGCGTTTTAAGGGATGCATGTACACGGTTGTGTTTAATACACAATGATCACTACCGAGAGTGTCCTGTGTGTTCAGCCAGTCGGCATGGCGTATGTTGCGTGTAATTGTGAGGTCCGGGCAAGTATCTCGTTGAACAGAGTTGCCTACACGTGTTGGGCTGGCGGGATCAGTGTGGAG